CATCCTTTGTTATTATTGTTCCGGTACAGGCCTGCTAGCAGCACGTGCTGTATAGCATGCGTGCTGTGTGTGTATGTGTGTGTAGCGGTTAGCGCGCTCCGCTACAAGCCCGGCAACTCGAGTTCGATTCCCGCTCATGGCCAACACCAGTGACAATTATCTGAACCGGTCCTGGGCCTCCCCTAGGTCAACTCACCAATCGTGAGACAAAGGGGGTAAAGCATGGTGCTGGCCACTCACCCCCTCATGTGCCGTGCCAGCCTTCATAGGTGCTCGCTACTCTAACAGCACTTTGCCAAAATTCTGTTCAGGCTATACGGGGGATATTTGTCTTTGTAGCCCACGAGAAGGCAATTAATCATGCAGGGGCATGGAGGTGTGGCTGGAACGGTCTCCTCGCTCGGGGTGAGCGGCCATTGCTTTCCCTTGCTAAATTCTCATTAGAATTTGATGCTAAGTGCTAGGCTGCTCATGTACATGCACAGCCCTTTTGTCAATCCACTGCTAGGTGAAGGCCCTCCACGTGCCACCTTGGGCAGCTCAGCTGGGCTAAATGGCCTGAAGTTTATGGGTCAGGCGATTAAAAGCAGTTGTCCTTGTAGTAGTGTCGGTTTATCGCAGCCAGCTCCCATGCTTTTGGAGAGACTGGTATCTGCCATAGAAGTGTGAAATTTTTCCCTGCTTTGGGCAAATAGGGATGAGACAATGTCCTGCATGGTAAATTGGGGAGATACTTTGAGTTGAATTGTTTTGTCTGGATGTTGTGTGTAAAAGGTATGGATCATTGTGTCATTGGCATGACCAAAATCCCTAATTTTAGTCAGCCAGCACTTGTATGACCAAGTGGAGAGTCCATTCAAGCTACAAGTGTCTTTTTCCAAGGAAGTCGTGAAAATGTGGGATTTTAGTCATGCCATTGACATGCAATTCCAATTTTAAATGGCATAAACATTCTAACAAAATGTTTGTTAGTTATTCAGATTGCTCCTGTAAAAAAACCATAGCAAATGTCAGTCTCCTCTCGTGCAGTTCTAGGGCAGTGATGAACCATAAATATACGTCACCTTTGACATTCACACTGGACAGAGACCATTAGACTGCTGTCATGGCCATCGTTGAATATTTACAAAACACCCCCAAAGGGATTAACTGTAAGTAGCGTATATGTCTAATTTTATTGTAACCTGCCATTTATCGGCTCTGGCCTCGCATATTACATTTTTTACTTGGTATCGTAATAGCACCACCCACAGACTTTTCAAACTGTGATTAAAGCTGCAGCATATAGTGAAAATGCATTTGCACAGAGTGAAATAGTCACACAACACATTTCCTCATCATTTGGCTGGGGTCCCATCTGGTTAGCTGCATTACCTGATAAAGACTAGGGATTGAGTTTTTAATAAAAAGTTAATATTTGGAGTTCTTGAATTTCTACGGAAAATTTCTGATCTTTTTAGGATTTACGGATCGTTTACATTGCTAAATATTTATGTGTTCACAAAAGTGACATCAATCGATGTCACTTGACACCATTTTTGGAAGGCAAACGTTGGACGTGACACCATATTCGTGATGTAACTTCTCAGAATAATTCGTAATAAAAATTCGGGTCACCTAAAATTGTCATAACTGGGCCTGATTTATTTTTGTTCAGATTAATACTTAAGTCACGAGCCCATACCTCGTAGAGACAAGTCGACAGGGTTGTGGAATGTCCGACTTGGTCTTTGCTTTCAGACTGTTGAGTTTTAACTTGTCTGTCAGAACCTACCAGGAGATGAGTGCGTAGACCTATGGCTCATTTGTTCATATAGACGCCGAAGTTAAACAATATTTTTTGTGCAAAGAGCACAGCTATGTTGTGCATATATATAGAGGTATTGTTGACCAAATTCTTATGTAAATATTGATTCAGTAGCAGGGTGTGTGCACACCTGCTGCTGAAAAATCTTAAATGCCTGCTACCGAAATATTCTGTTAAATAAACACAATTCAAGGAAGCCATCTGCTTTTACAGATGTCCTTAAAATGTACTCTTTAAACTTAGGAAGTCTTTAGATTTTCACGTGATAAATCACAGAATGTATAAGCCCCGTGGGCCCAAACGTCTACGCAAATGTGTGAAGTGTACACTCGCACAAATCCGTATAAGGGATGCAGTGGCATTGCTCTGTTGATGCACACACTAATAATACTACTGATTTAGAATAATTACTAATTTATCAAGGAAAACCACGAGGAGTCCAATGACTCCTTTTCAGGAGGATCCTGCAGCATTGACATTTTATATGAAAATGTTTTCAGCCATTTGATGATCGTTTATACAAGTGGTAGGAAACCGGAGTCCCCTGAGTAAATCCACACTCTATTTCCATCTGTATCCCCATACAGATGGAAATAGATGGCTATTCGTCAGCTTGCTGTATTGCCTTAGGGTATGGCACATCGACTCCCGCCACAGGACGGGAGTTTGACATTTGTGTGTGATCCACCAGTGGCGGCTCCTGCAAAATCTCTCAGGGGGGGCAAATGTCTGGATGATTGATAAGGATAAGGTCCACCCATGTAATGGATAAATTAACAGCTTAAGCATGTAAAGGCAACTTCACTTCTTTAATATTAATGAAAAATAAAGTGACTCTTACAATACATCTTGTTTGTTTCTATACTCACTATTAAAACAAACCACTCAAGTTTATTTTATTAAAGATTCCACTAGGTAGCGATAAATTATATTGTTGGATGAAACGTGCCTACGTATGATGACGTTAGCACGTATGATGACGTAAGCACGTTAGGGCTTGCCCTCCCGGAGCCATAGAGAATGCATTGGAGCGCCCCCGTTCGAAAAAAAACATCTTTGAATGTAAGTCTATGGGGCCACTCGGGGCGATTCTCAGCCGGAGTGAAATCGCCCCAAAAGAGGCGGTACTCCACAGAACGTGACATGACGCTGATTGGACTATATCCAGAGGCTGACAGTGACGGCTAGCGTGACTGTGGTTGAATGACATTGGTGGTGCGTCGCCCAATCGCCCTAATGAAGAAACCGCCCCTGTGATCCACCAACCTTCGCCTCCACAGTGCTGAATTACAGGTGTATGCTGCCACCACATCACTTGCATGACGGCCTTACACGTGGTCACAGTAGGTTTACGGGTGTTCAGTGGATAAGAGTCTAGGTTATGATTCAGGGTGGAGGTTGTGGCTGCGTAGTAGCTGTCTTACCTGTAGGTATGCATCGATGCATTGTCACATTTTAGGGTAATTCCTGCAGTCACGAAAGCTCCAAATTAAGTACATTTTAGGGTCTCAATGCGATTCAAGAGTCAATATTTTGTTTAATTTTACCGTCTCATTCGTGCTGTGTTGTTCACTCCATTAACCTAAATGGAACAATCTCTCAACATTGTGCGTATATATGTTTCAACTGCAGGCAGTGATGGACACATGTAGGATGAACAACAACAGGAAAATGTTAACTGTGTTGTTCGGAAAAATGGAAGGAACAGGAAAGACAGGAAGACCTAACAGAGTATGGCTTGACGACATCAGAGATGGGTGCCAGAAAGATGTGGCACTACTTGAGCATATTGGCATAAAACAGAGGAAATTGGAGACATGTGACTAAATGTGCAGTGGATACCTACGGGCTATTTGCCCATTGATCGTGATGATGATTTTTCCACCAGCATTTGTTTAGGCAGGCCAACTATGGATAACTTTTTACCATCTGCGTCTCATCAGCATGTCTCACTCAGATAATCTGTATTCAGACCACTACCAGTGAATTTAAATTACCAATTATAATCAGAAGGCGAGTCCATTGCCTTCTTAAACTCGAGTTGCAGGCCACCGCTGCTGACCACTTCCCCTCCCACCAATACAAGCCATGTGTGATTATCGCAAGACGTCCTGGACAGCATGGAAGAGCAGGCCAAATACGATCTGCAGGGGGCTTTACAGCTCCCCCGAGTAGAATACTTCTGCCAGCTGTGGCATGATAAAAGGATTTCATGGCGGCACCTTTACATATTCTTTATTTTGTTATGTAGATAAAGGACTGTGTGTTGAAAATCTTTATGGATCGAGGAGGCAGGTGCCTCGAGTGTGCACTTGTTTCTTGACCTGGCTCCCGACGCTGACGCTGACTGGCGCGAGGCCCAGTCTCTTTCCCCCAGTGCTTCTGAGCCAGCCAGAGCCGAGAGAGAGAGAGACTGTCACCATGATACAGAGGGCACAGACAGGGCCAGACATTAGAATGGAAGTGCTATAATCTTCATTTCATCTCAAATTGTCCATCTCCTCCTGCTGCTCATCCTAATCAGCCATGATCATCAATCTATTGCTGGATGAAGGCCTCCCCATGCTGTTGCCATCTCTCACGGTTCTACAATGTAACAATTAACCTAGCACCTGCACACGAGCATATTTCATTGATCCATCTCCATGGTAAATGTCCTCTCCAGCATTTTTCATTCCTTGGCTGCCACACCACACTATTCCTGATCATCGGCCATCATTCCTGCTGTAATTTTCTTCTATAAATCACAAAATGTGCTACACTTATCCCACGCTTGAAATTGGTCAATATTATCAACTTTCTTACCATCAAATAGCGTATATTTTTTTGTTTAACCACAATGTGGTCTTTTTTCTAACTCATAAATGCTGCTGGCAGCTTGAATGTAGTAACATTTTATTGAAAAAATGTTGTAAATTTACGAGTGATTTGGAAGGCAACGGCGATTGATGAGATGGGGAAATAAAATGGCAACAGTGGGAGAGTGGGGGACAAGAGATCATGAAATAAAATGACATATTTTGTTCACAATTTTTGAAAATACGAGTTGTTATAAAAAAATCGTGTTCATTAATATTCAGCATTGAAAGAACTGTGAATGGTTGGTTTGGTTTGTCCACAGCCAATGTTTTAATTTCTGGTGATTGAGAAGAGTGATTATCTGGATCTAATCCCATTTCCAAATCTCTGTCAGATGCCGCTTGCTGTTACCAGGCCCGGGAGTATCCCATCTGCCGGGAGGCATGTGAACAGGTCAGCTTGTCCTCGTATACGCACAACTGCACACGCTGCCACTGCCCTTTGTTACTATGTTCTGCTGCCCCTTCACAAATAGCAATGACTGAAGCCGGTTTTGTCCCACGTTCCCATTTGTGTGTGCCTGTGTTCACGCAAGGTCATTCCTCCTGCGACCATAAAAAAACATTGCAGAAATAGCTTTCATGTCACTTAATCAATTTCCATAATTGAACCGGTATTTTGCTCATGCCACTATGCTCATCACATGCACTCTAACCCCTTCTCTAATTAGAGCATCCTGCAGGCCGGCTCCATTTAATGGCTTTCCTGTGTGCGATCATGTGAGAGCCCGTATAGCTAACATTACTCTGGCTCATCAGGATGACACATCCTGCCTCTCTCGCTAACCCACACTAGCTCTTAATTGACGACAAATGTGCAAGACCTCCGTTGTGACGCAATGGTATGTGATCGCTGGCCATGAACACGTTTTTTTTATTTGAAGCATTTGACTTTCTTATTTTCCAATTTTGTTCACAAAATACTGTGCCGCTTTATTCGGCATCGTCGTAAAATGCCAAGGTGATGTCTCATCGTTGGGCTTTGCCGCAGTATGTCTATTGCTCTGAATCTGATTATGTTCTTTACAATGAATTATATTGCCCAATTCTTTTTTCAACAGCTCACATCAACCAAGAGCGACTCCAGGCTGAGGCATCTGCTGCACCGGCTGCCAGGCTACTGCCCTGACTCCATGGTGCGTGCCGCATATGATGCCTCCAATCCTCTGCCTGGCTTTGTCACTGCAGCCTTTTTAGCACATCCAGTGTTTGTTGTTTCTTACTAAAATTCAGGGTTCCACTATTACCCCCCCCCCCCCCATTCCCCACCCCATCCCAAAAACAAAATGACAGAAAATAAACCAGACCATATTTTTTCGACTACCCATAGTGTCCGATATGCACATATGAATTAGTTATATGTGGTGGCACGACAGCTATAATGCAAGCAGCCTCGTAAACTTGTAATGGCTATACTGGAAGTAATCACCACTGTGAAAAAGCCGGGCACTTGTTCGATTTGAATTGTATGTTATGATGCTACTGTTGACCATGACGAATATAAAGTGTTATTAGCGTTCACAATACGTTGATGATGCCTGCTTCATCCTATGGATCCTTGGTTGCTGTTGGATTAATTTATATTAACCCTAGACCAGGGGTCGGAAACCTACGGCTCCGGAGCCGCATGCGGCTCTTTACGGGCTGCTTCTTGACGATATGTACGTATGTACAGTAAGTACTCCGATGCATTGCGGCTCTTGAAATACTGAATTTTGTACCGAATTGGAAAGAAATGGCTCTTCTTGTTATTTTGGTTGCCGACCCCTGCCCTAGACCATGGTAGACACTACAGTATGCATAGATGGACTTTGTTTTTCAGTTAAATAGCATTTCAATTTAGCCATGGCCACATTTGCAGCTAGATAGGATGTCAATTAATCAATACATTATATTTTTTATTCACTTATTCAATAATTGCCTGTAATGGCATGGCATGTGATGCAAAAAAAAACTATAAATGTGTCGCTCTTGTTAGTTGCTTTTTAAAGGCCAAATTAGATTTTTTTTTTTATCATAGACTTCCTGTGCTTGAATTTACAAGATACACAATAATACTTGAAGTCCAGATGGGTGCCTCGCCAAAGGAGGGAACATGCCAGAGAAGGTCACCTTCCATGGAGATGGAGCAATGAGGTCAGCTCGAGTGCAGGAGCTACATCAGAGGTCGACAACCTGCGGCTCTGCAACCGCATGCGGCTATCTAAGGACTACATTGTGTTTCTTGAAATTTATGGGTTTTTTCACGAATTCGAAAAAAAACGCATCTTTTCGTTATTTTGGTTGCCGACCCCTGACCACGGGAGTCCAGTTTACTACGGAAGTCCATTTTACCATGAGAGTCTAGTTCACCATAGAAGTCCAGTTTACCATGGGCAAAAGTTTGCAACCTGTGGCTCCGGAACAGCATGTGGCTCTTTAAGGACTGCTTCGTGACGTCATTTATTAAGCACCACCGTCTCGTATTTGCGTGCATTTCGGCTCTTGAAATGTTGAGTGTTTTACCGAATTCGAAAAAAATGGCTCTTGTTGTTGTTTAGTTTGCCAACCCCCGATCCAGATGGATTGTTGTAAATGGTGACTGAGTTGGGGAGATGTTCATGTGGCAGTGGACACATCAAGGTTAATGATGATTATGATGATGAGACAGGTGTTAAAACTGACGACATTTGGGGTACACAAATATCTCATTACAAATAGTAAATCAGGCACTTCAGAACTATGTATATTTAACGAGACCACCGATGATGTAGAACATGTGACATGTAATAATTGTGATTAATATTACTGTACCAGTTACTAAATTATGTTTGCTTTCAAGCTTAGGTCATGTCGTTGCTCTCCATCTTAATCCTCCACTTAAATGAGACGTTACAAGCCATAGACGTAAAAATATACTGGTGATCTCATTTGAAATGCCGTCCAAAGACGACTATGAACCAATTTGGCAATGTTAAGAGAGGAATCCTCGTCTCAAGGGTCAGTTCACCACTGTGAGACCACCTAGCCAGCCCAAGTGGCAATATACAGCAACCGTATTTATGTAATCATATCTACGAGCCCTTACAAAATAACATTTCTTATTGCAAATTCCAAATCAAAACACTGTCACGGGAATTTCGACTGTTTTGCAAGCTGCCAGGAATGTATGTACACTTTTACTGTTACCGTACTTTTAATGTCTTTAAATAATTCGTGCTCGTAATGTGCATTTTACAACAGTGACACAAAACTAAAAGTATGTATATGGCCAGTCTGCCTGGCATGAAGACGTTGATATTGGCATAGCTGCTGCAAAGTATGCATGTGAGTGAGCTACACACACACGCGTTGGTTCCTCCTTTATTTTTTGGCAGTTGTTCCGAGAGATTCCTTTGGTATCGTAACCGTCGACTCTGTGCGTATTGTTGACATCAGTGTTTTTCCTCTGTGTGCTTGCATGTCACGGTCACTTTAGTTCAGATTTACCAGATTCCTTTGAAGGTTGCACTGGAAAGTGTATAATTGTTACCATCTGGGCGCCTCCTTCGCTAAGAGCAGAGAAGCCTTGGTCGGGTTTTTTTTAAATTCCAGTGGTGTTTTTATATCTCGCTTGTGGTCCCTTATCCCTGGTGCTTTGCCAGTGCCCACATAAAAGTGTCTTTGAGAAAGACGTTGTTTGGAAATTGTTAAAAAATCACACTGATTGAGAGTGGCTACAAGTCAGGCTTATTTTAATAATATTGTTTTAATATAATTGACCTTGTAGACAACCTCGTGATTGTGTTGATATGCAGCATTATGGTCTGTCTCCACAAATAAAACCATATATATTTTAGAAGCCCATCAGCCTCATGGCTCTCATATTTGTACTTATCTATATATATAAAAGGGAAATGTGTGAATGTTTCAAGTTTCATTTATTCGGTATAGCCCTGTGAGTCATACGGCTCTTGAGTCGGGTGCAACCGCAACAAACACAATATGAACAGAGAACATCTTAAATCGACGACGCGTGTCTGTTCGAAATGTTCAGCATACTTCCCGACATACAACAAACTTTAAATTTGTCATGTGGGTAGCTTCCAGACTGTACACAATGCAAAAAGTATAAAAATAGACTTTTGTATTTGGGGGGGGGGGGGGGGGGGGGGCGCAATAATGGATATATTTTGCACGGCAAGCAAGCGGTGACGTCACATCTGTGATGTCACCCGCATGCGGCAGCGTCACACAGTGTGCCTGCTGACGTCACGCATCCCCCCCCCCCACCCTCCGCGTAGGCCGTGTATTAATCCAAGACAAGAATCCAAGTCCCGGGCGAAGCCGGGTAGTAAAGCTAGTATATAATTATATAACAGTTGCCTTTGTAGTTGTAGAGCACAGGATTATGGAAGCATTTTGTGCCTAAATCATTCCACATATGTCTGGCAATTAAATTTGCTTGTATGCTATTTCAATAGCCACTGAACTTGCAGTGTAAAAGTTGGTTAAAATACTCGTAAGTTTTTTTTGCTTCGATTATTTATTCTAAAAATAGTCTACTTGTGCTCGACAAATCCCCTTAATTAATGAGCAAGTTGAGAATGGCTTGTCTTCAAAGTTGAAAGTGACTATTGTAGTTTTCAAGAAGTTATTGTGCAGAAAGGAGGAGGGAAAAAATGTTGATTTGAAGCTCTTGAACCTGGCATTGGTTTTGTGCCCTAAATAAAAGGGGGCAGGCTTGGATGGTTGTCCCTTGATCTTTCTATTTGCCTCATCAATAGCACATTCAGGCCTCGGGAGTTTAACGAGAGGCCTTGCTGGTGACTGCTTGGAGCCCCTAGGGCCGTCACAAGCCTGGATCCTGTTACGGAGGGTGATGGGTTCAGTGTAGCAGGGATGAGGGGTGGGGGCCTGAGGTGGGGGTGACAGGGTGGGCTGGGGTCAGGCTTAGGGAGGAAGAAGAGGGAGGCTATGCAAGGAGGAGAGGCGTTCACCGCTCACCGCGTTGCGCTGTTGTCGCTCACCGTGCGCTGTGCGGCCACGCGCACATCCCGTGCATGCTCTCCACACGTGCGCTCATCGACACGGATGGGTGCGTGCGTTTCGTAAGAAAATTGTCCTTCCCCGTTCATCAGTGGTGGGAGGGGGTCCACAGTCCAATCGTATAAGCAGACAACCTGAGGTCGGTATCCCGACGGTTGGTTCAAATTGGCCCCTACATGTATCAGGTAACGGCCACAAAAAAAAAATGCACACAGGAGCTGCCCGCTTTACATACAAAGATAAAGATTCCCCCAATAGCCTTCACAGACGGTTGCGGCAAGTGCGGTTAGCGAGCACCTATGAATGCCTGAACAGCACACGAGGTGGTGCGTTGCCACGACCATGCCTGGCTGCCTTTGTCTCTCTAGTGCCGATGTTTACACACCGCACAAGGTAGCTATTTGAGACTGAGTCGACCTCGTCGAAGTCCAGGACCGGTTCAGATAATCGTCACTCGGGAATCGAACTCGGGTTGTCAGGTTCGTAGCGCAATGCGCTAACCGTTACGTTACCGCTCTCCACACACACACGCACATGCTGGCTCCGTGTTCTTATGCAGGTGTTTGATACATGTTTGAAGTGCTGTGCAAGCACGTGAGCGTGTGTGTGGGAGGTGGTGGGTGGCGCAATGGATTCTGCACTGCGTCACTGATCCCATGACCTGAGTTTGATTCTCAGTCACGGCTAACAGTGGTGGTGGTATCTGAACAGGTTTGTGGGCCACTCCTAGTTCGACTGAGTTTGGGAGGCAGAGGAGGCCAGGTGTGGTGCTGACCCCACACTCCCTCGTGTGCCATTGCAGCCCTAATAGGTGTTCACTCGCATCGCTTTCCCCAGAGATCTTTGCAGGCTACATTTTAAGAGAATCCATACCACCTCGGTCTGTCCTTAATATCTCGCAAGTCTGAATTTGCCACATCACGTGGCCTCAAAGTGTACCTAGCACCTAGCCTGGTACAGCGCTGTGGTGATGTCACCGGCATTCAATGGCGAATATTGGCTGTGTGTGTGGATATAGCGAAGGACGGATGGACAATATGACCAATGGCTAAGATTTAAGGATTGTTTTTTCTTCTTCTTCTGGATAATTGGAAGATGTCCCATAAAGTGTGAAGATAAGTAGATACTT